CAGTAGGGAACAAATGCTACATGAAGAAGCAAGAAAAAATAGAATGGACTTTCCAAATTTGTTTGGCTCATCATGAAGTTACTCCAAGTTTTCATATCATCATATTTTTTCCTCTCTCTTAGAGATAAAATGCTTGCATTCCCTGTCAGTTTTTTAGCATCTGACAAATACAATAAAAGGGAACACATTTTTCATTTGTATTAATTAAATTCTGATCAAGACATTGATTATTTTAGTCTCTGAAAGACAAAAGTAAAGGGAAGTTTTTTGCAGAAGATAATTCATATACTGCAAAATGCATGGCAGATATCCTCTAATGTTTAGCAAAAAAAAAAAAAAAAAGCAAGGGAAAAATTATTTTAAAATGAAATATATTTTGATTCAGTACAACTAATTTTTATCTTCTAATCTCAACTAGTTTTTTTTACAAAAATTGTATTTTTATTCATGACAAGATGCTCTGATTATCAGGCTGTTACAGCACATGTGGACAAAACTACCTTGTTCTTAAAGGCATCTATTATCAGATCACTTTTGCCCTTGAAAGTGCCCAATCCAACTTACAAGCACTGGAGAGGGAAATAAATTCAGAAAAATATCTGTACCTCGCGCCTTTCAGCAGCCAGTCTATGCAGCTTCCTTGCTACCCTGAAGGCTGTCTTAACTGAGTTCATGGGCTCTGTCTTTTAAGAAACTGACTGTAATGAGATCTGCTGCTAAACAGCAGCAAGGTTTTCTGCATCATATCATATGACCTAGCAAAAAATAACTTAGAGGGCTTTAAATACATAATACAAATATTTATCATATAAGATCCAGAACTGATATTTGAAGGCAAGTTTGAATTTTGTTTCCTTGACAGCTAACGTGATAATATAAAATGTTGTCTCTCTACAATTTAAAAACATTTTTAATGCCAGAATGCCCACACTGTGTACATACAAAAAGTTATATGAAACAACAACATACATTTCCACAGTAAGCACTTATGCGCATGTTGTTTATTTATGGAGGCATTTTCCGACTAAGAATGTGAGAATTCACACTGCACTTGCGTTGAGAATGGGAATTGGGCTGCCATACAGGACACAGAAACAGTTGTTAGTTTCAAATCATTAGCCAATCCTTTGCATTAAGTTAGTCATCTATCCTGAATGTGGGCAGATCAGATCAGAAATGGATAGAGGCCTCTTTACGTCATCTAGTCCAACTTACTTAAAATATGTATGTATTCTTATAGTTGGGTATGTAGATATACCTTAGATTGTTACACCCAGAGGACAGGAACAGATTGGAAAAATACTTAATTAGACACAAGTGCTTTTTCAAAAAAAAAAAAAAAAAAGGGATTTTCCTGAAAAGGTCAGTGGGAACAGTTGTACCTTATCTTGCAAACTCTTGAATGCTCTAGATAATCAACAAGTGTTACGATAAGAAAAATGAGCTGTCATGAAACGTTCACTGAGATTCACAAATGCAACAGACAGTTTTACAATGCTTCCATCAAACTGTAATTGAAATGGAAAAGCCTTTGAATAAATTAGCATATTTTGAGTCATGCACATAGGAATTTTTATGTGGATGGTAGTATGATGGGAGGAGCATAACATTAGTAGAGCTGTTTCCTTACTGTTGCTGTTTGCCTCATTTACTAACACTAGTAGGGAAGAAAGCTGTCTTAGAAATCTTGTTTTCTCAATAAATTTTACAAATATAGAGCTGCCTATTTAAAGCTACTGTATGTATCCAGGCACATTTTTATGCATGCACAATTTCAATTTACACTTTCTCTGATATACAGCTAGATGAGAAAAATGTTCATCAAGAAATCTTTAAACATTTCCAGGAAAGTGGAATAGTTTCCCTGAACAACATTCTGCAGATTTTTTTTATGACAATAACAATCAACCAAAATTAAAAGATCATTAACATTTAAGTTTAGCACAGGAGCATCCTTTGTGCAACACAAGTACTATTTAAGTATTTTTTAAATGGAAATTTGCCAAAGCCAGGGACATTTTTAAATCTGTGAGAGATCTATCAATGGACAAAAGAGAAAGAAAGACCACATGTTGAGTGCACACTTGATAGTCTGTGCAATTTATTGTGAAGTACCTCTTGTACTAGGCCTGCCACAGAGCCATTGGTTTGAAAGGTTAATGACTGCTGCAATCACAATTTCAATTTACAAGAAATGGGATGACAAGAAACCAAATACAAAATGGAGAGGTCCCACTGTGATGGCAGCTGAGCAACAATTCATCAACAAGAGTGCATGAGGATTGTAAAGCCAGAGTGCTAAGGACAATCTTTTGAGTCTGGGAGGGCTTAGGACTTCCTTTAATCTCGTTTTTCAAGGATAGGATAGATTTTAAATGGCAAAATTGATGAATACTCATAAGTCATCCTTTCATGCTTTTCCTTGTAACAGCTGTTAGGTCATCTGAAAGTGCTTATCTCACTTACTTACATTTTCTGTAATATACCTCTTCTTGTACTTTAAATTTTGACCTTGATTACTACCAAAACAGCCATCAAGACAAGCATTTCAATGCTCTTAGGGCCTTTTTTTGCTGTTGTCCTGTATTTGCTTCATGAAACATCAGATGTTCTACAATGCAGACTCTCTAAAGCTTTCATACATTTACACAGATACAAGGATGCTATCTGACTCTTGGTGCTCCTCATATATAAACTGCTTTTTGCTAGATTTGGAATGCAACTTGTCTGTAAATCAAATTAATGAAAATATCTTTACAGGCTTATATTTTTATTTCTCTTTGAATAAAAAGCTTAATAAATGAAATTTTGTAGACATCACTTATACTAAAGTAATATAGTAATACTTGTTGCTTTCCCATCTGAAGTCAGGAAGTGTGTGTAATTAACATGAAACCATAAATAATAAGTTAGTGGACATAAGCTGGATGAAATTCTGGTTGCTCCTATCTCAGAACACACAACCTAGAATTGGGCAGGATTCAGGGAAGTCAACAGGTTGGAATAAGTTATGTACAATGAAAGATTATACAGACAAAAAAAGTTTTAGATAGGGAAAGAAGAGACTAGACAGGGTTTGTGGCAGAGATGTGTAAAGCAATATCTGACAGAAGTAATGGTAACAGTTACTCATTTTCTCACAGCAGAAATACAATAGCTATTAAAATAGAAGGAAGTTGGTTTGAAATAGATATGAATTATTTTTAAGATAAGGTATAATTATGACATAAATGTAGTTAAAGTACATAAAACTAAAATATGCAGCTGTAACATTCAGTATGGTAAATATTTCAGTATAAGAATGCAAGGTGACAGAACAGTATGTGAGCCAAATGATAACTCTAAATTTCCTCTGTTCTTATATCCTTTCCTTTATATGGCTACTATTGAAAGAAGTATGCTGAGGCATACTAAATTCAACTAAATACAACATTCCAACTCTCCCCTCATCATTGCTGAATTAAAGGCAAATATCACCTCCTTCAATCTGTCCACCAAGACCTCCGGGTCTTTTTCTGCAAAACTACTTTCCAGCTGGATGACCTCCAGCATATACTGATGCATGAAGCACAGAGATGAAGCACGTGGGGTGAAGATATTGACAGGATAGCATTAAGCTGAATTTAAAAAGAATGGTACTAAGAAGGGAGGTGGCCAATGGAAGACAGAATTCAACAAGCATTGTCAAGGGAGATCATTTAAATACAGCCATGGGAGAGACTATAACGCTGTCCCATATCAATGCCTACCAAACCACTCAAACTGTGTTTGATAAAACCTGAACAGGTGACAGGAAAATGAACTAACTCACATAGACAACCTTCTGACAGAGCTGAGACACACTTGCCCTACCCACCCTCTGAAGAGATTAGGTAGCTGCAATCTAGCACCAGGTTTTGCAGTAGAGCAGACAAAGATGAGAAACAAAACAAATCCCAGCTCAACCAAAGGTAACCATTCATTTCTGAAGTTTGAAGCCTGGGTTAAGACTGCTGCTTTAAACTGATTTATAACAGTCATCAGCACTGGACATGTTTTACAGCATTTTTGAAAGTAATTGATAACTTTACAATCATATTAGACACACAAAAAAAATCTGAGTTCCATGCTCATTAGCTCCAAAAAGTTGAGGATATTTATACTTGCATGTCTTTAATTACCATGTACTGATAAGGAAATGAAACACTTTAAGAAAGATGTATTACCATCACAACTCCTTTGATGCAATACATTTTAGAACACAAAAGTAGATCAAGAGCTGGAATTCCTCTTGAAAATTACAGTAAATAGTAACCAATTAAAATACTTCCTTATAATGTATTCTCTTCTTCCATGTGTCATGTTACACAGAGAAGCATCAAGGTCCTTTGTTCTGAGGCTCTAAAAATAACTTTCTTAGAGAAAAGGACAGCAGGCTTACTTTATCCACTACGCTTTTACCTTTCTGCCTTAGATAATTAGGAACATTAGCTCATGATTTGCAATACCTTGGGACTAGTATCATTAACAGGGGAATGTTCTTTAGTACCTTCAGGAAATGAAAGCCTTTGAGAGCAATCATGGTTAATCACTAACATGACAACATTATATACTGTCTGAAAATGGAGATGATACATAGCCAGGACACATTAAGTGACTCTGTATTTTACTTCCATTGTGAGCTTCCAATAAAAATGTTGTTTTAAAGTACCCTTTCACACAGCTTGCTTTCACTACATCACTACTCCTATCATTTCATTAATCCAGCCTCAACACAACTTTTAATCTCTCCTTGAACAGTCTTACTTTACTAACTTAAATTATCCTCTGCTTCATACTTTGCATCTTTTAAACTATTCACTTGTTGCAGATTGATTATTTCCACACTTTATGCATGTTTCCACATGCAGCATTTAACCATGGAACCCCACAAGCTCAATTGAAAGCCATCCTGTACAGCTGAGATCGCAGTGGCATGTAATGTGTGAAGCAGATGGTAAATTAAAAACTGAAGTACTTACATTCTTGAAACCTCTATATAAGATCTGAAGTTCCTTCTTTGTGAATTTACTCTGTGCTTCCAGCAGCTCAAGAGCTTCAGGTCTATGCCGTACTGTGGCCATTTCCATTTCATCTTCTACAGTGTCTGCAAAATGCAAGAGACAGAAAGGAAAAGCTCAACAAGAAATGCAGGATGTAGAAATGTCTATCCTATGTAGGAAAAAAAGAAAATTAGATGACATTATTTTAAAGAATGGTTTTTGTGACCTAAAAGACATGTAAGTTCAAAATGAACGTGTCACAGGGAATCTGCTTTAATGGCTGCAAAGAGTGTGGAACAGCAATGATGATCCAGAGGTCTGGATATTATTACAATATTAATATAAATAGCAGTAGACTGGAAAGCAGACATTCTACAAGGACATACATGACATATTCAGTAGGATTTTGCTGTTTCTACAACCCTCTGAACAAAGAAAAGACCTTATAAAACCTTACTGTGTCTAAGCAATACTGGTGATATTCCCTCTGTCAGTCACTGGATCAGCCTGGGATTCCCAGTGTCCTCCTTTATGGATAACTTTGTAAAATGTTTGGGAAGGATATTCCACATTCAACAGTGGGCCTTACTTTGAGTACAGCATAAGAAATGATTATTCATGGTGAGCAGCTTTAAGGAGGTAACATGAAGATTTCAGCAAATATGAATGCCAATCTACACCTTTAAGGCTCTAATATAGTTCTAAAAGGACATGATTAAAATGTGAGAGTCCAAAAAAATAGCTAAAGCAGTGTACAGTACAGATTTTCTTATACAGGAGTACAAGGCATACATTTGATCCAAATTTTAACATACCGTATATAGTACTCCTGATAAATTCAATCAAATCACTGCCTTTTGCTGGATCGTTATACCAGCTATAGAAATGTAACCTGAACAAAACCTACCTTTTTTTTTTTTTTTTTTTTTTTACTTCTTCAATGGTAAAAATATATTTTTTATTTCATCAGTGGGGGCCTCTGCATTCTTAAAGTAAAGTTTTATTCACCTCAGTTTTTGGAAGATCCCAAACAAAACCCTCCATTAAAACAGTATTATGCTTACATCTTCACATATTTTTTTTTCTGGTACAGTGCAATAATAACTTTCAGTTGCTTGGGAGAAATCTGGCATCAGGAGATCAAGTTCAACTATCCCAAAAATGGACCACTTTAGAATAAAACCAGAGAATCACTGAATGGCTTGGGTTGGAAGGGACCTTGAAGGTCATCCAGTTCCAATCTCTCCACCATGAGAGGCACTCCACTAGAGCAGCTTGCTTGGAGCACAGAATCAGTATATATCAACAACTTGGATAAATGTTCAAAAAATTGTAGGACCTTGTCTTTTCTTCCTGGTAGAGAGAGGTTGTTGCTGGCACTCATCTCAGGAACCTAAGGATTAAAGAAATATTCAAGGTGTGGAAAGGAAGAAAACAGATGTTTAAAAAAAAGAAAAAAAAAGAAAAAAAGAAAAAGTGAGTTCCACTGCTTGAGAGGCTTCCAGTAGAGAATGGATGGTCCAATAGCAGAGGCGATATAATATCAAAAGTGTATGTAATTATTCCTATTTCAGTGGTGGTTTAACTGAAAGACGAGAAAGCAATGTTCTGCTGTAAACTCTAGGCAGGTATATTTCTCATACAGGCATGTCATCAAAATGGTAGTGTCTAAGTGGTTTCCTAAACCATTAACAACGTCCTGTGAAAGAACCAAGACTGAAAGTGAAATGGCAGATCATCACATCGACTTAAAACTCAGATCAAGACTTTTAAACACATGGATATTTTTTTCTGACGTTATTAAGAATTTCTTTCGTGTAACCAAACAGGAGAAATTAACAGATTATTTCTGAATTGTGTCTGAACTGAATTTAGCCAACTTCTGCTCCAAGCAAAGCCTCTGTGCAAGGCAGCATCCACAAGCCTAAATGTTACTGTTCTGAACACAGCATAGAAATATTTACGTACTTTGAAATACACAAACACCTGTACAATGGGCATAAATGCAGATTCCAAAATCTGACAATGTGCTGAACAGAGCCATTAATACAGTGAACCCATGACATATATACATGCGTAGTTTTTTAAATATTTTTTTCACTATGCAGAAAATAAGTAATGTGGTGAGTTTAAGGCAGTGCATATAGTTAGGCTGAAACAGATATCTTCGATGAGCAACATTGGTTCAGTAGATTTTTCAAAGAGTAAACTGAAGTGTTTTAAGATTGCAATGTGATGTGTAACATTAAATGATTTAGGTATTAAAAGGGCACAAGTTTTACAGAATAACTCTTTATTTTACTTCTACTCTGGTGATTTTTTTTCTTCAGTTTCCTCCTAATAGCACTGCTCTTCAGTATGGATATGCTTCGGTTTCTGCTGGTTCCTTCTTACCCTAAATCCCAAGACTAGGTAAGTATTTACCTTAAGAGCGTCAACTGTGAATTCTTTTCAGATAAGATGACCAAGGAGTAAGGACTCATAACTTTAGAAAATCAGCAAGTCATTTAATAGATGTAATTATAGGTGCAAGATAAAAGGCATGGTGTTAGATAAAAAAAATGAACACCGTTAATGCTTTATGGCTTTTCAAATCTGATTCTTAGAACATCATTTTCTCCTGACAGTGTTCCTTGAGTACATTTATTTTATTAATTAAAGCTGCTTCTGTCAAAGTTTTTCAGCTTAGACTCAATGTAGAAAGATTTATTAGAATAAGAAATACAGTGCTAATCCATTTAAAATCATGTTTGCAGATGCCATAACAAAATGTTAAATTCAATCACTGAACCAGACTGCAAATTTACAGAACACTTTGCATTTCATAACTCTTCTGAGAGACATGTTAGTTTTGTCTGGCTCTTTACTTTGGCTTTTTCCAAGTCATTATTTATGAGTGTAAGCATTACAGAGAATGTCTGTAGGAGGAACCAGACATGACATTTTTCATTTAATCTGACAGAAGATATTTTCCAAATCAGTATCACCCATAGACTTATCTGAGAATATCCACTGTGTATTGGCTTATGGGCAAGCTAAAACATATTTCTCTTCCATGCATTCGTGGGATGTTTCAGATGACTCAGACACAATCAATATTTTTGTGAAAAATTCCAATGTAAACACTATTGACAAAAAATCCACCAGTTTACATCATCGTTTTGACGTTTGGTGATAGTTTTGAAAGATCAATATCTGAATTCACAGGATTCTAAGAACATTTCAGTTCTCACCTTTAATAAGAAAATTCATCTCATGTAGCAGTGCAGTTCTATACAGTTATCAAAGCATAATTAAATTGTTCCAGAGTTAAGAATCTGTCTTCCCAATGTTTGGAAAGCCTAACAAAATTCCTGAGCTACATTTTAATTCTCCTTGAGAATATCCAGGGTTTATTTTGCAAGGTTACCAAAGCTTTGCCATCACATTTTTAAGGAATTTTCTCTTCTGTATTCATTATAAAATAACTATAACGACATCATATAGATATGCAGCAGAAATTTTCTCAGGTGTTTAAAAAAAAATGAACTTGAGAATAAATATTGTTGAAATGCCACTTTTATATGTCATGAGTTACACGGACTTTAAATTTATTATCATTTAGAGAGATAGGGACTTACAGGGAAAAAAGGTCTCTATTTGTGAATCATCCAATTACCTAGAGGGATATCTACAAGCTCTTCTGGAAGTTAAATGAATAAATGTAATAAACATAAGGCCAAATATATGTGCCACAGAATGTGATGCCTGTATGTCCTTACTGATGAACATTTCTACAGTGTTTAATGATTTGGTAAAAATGTAGAAGACTACAGTGTGGTGGCAATATTAGTTTTCTGTTAATGAAAAGATTCAGTGTACAGTCTTATCACACTCCATTTCCGTAGCACCTTACTGACACAAACAGTCCAAAAATAAGATCAGTGGGAGCTTTCTGATAATATGCCAACCACGCTGATTAATATACTATAGCATTCATGAGTTACTTGTTCTCTCTCTCTCAAAAAAAAATAAAATTAACACTTATGGCTACCATCACCCAGGCAAGAAAAAAACACACACTTCGACATGTGCAATTAAAATGTGTGAAAATACATCTATTTCTCAAGAGAAGTTTTGTAATTTCTACGGCATTAATGAAAAATTCATCATTTCAGTTCTTTAGTTTCTTCAATCTAAGTTAAGAACTCTTTTTTCACATTTTTCACAAAGTGCTGATATATCTCAGCTGAAAAAGAGAAGCAAGTTCATATTTACTTCTTAATATATTAAATAAATAATCATACGGGTGTCATTAATGAGTTATCTTTCTTCCAGCTAAACAGTAGAGACAGTTTTTAAGGCATTTGCTACAGGAGCTATGCTTTGAACCTTCCATCACATATTAAATAACAAAATGGTAAAATCAATGCGAAAAACAGACATACTCCTTAAATAATGATAAAAATGAATCAAAATTTAGGGCATACCTGTAAAAATTGTGCATATGCGTTTGCCTGTACAGATCCCAAATTTCATCTCCCTTATTTATTTAATAATGGCATGCATACACACTATTCCAAAACCAATCTTAAGTCTAGACCTACCAGTCTAAAATACACAAATAAGAAAAAGCACTCTGAGATGTACTGTTGAATGGGAAGGCTGAAATAAGTTTTTATCTTTATTACTAAAATAACCCTTTTCTGCACATATTCAATTGCAATACACAACTGCACATGCAACTGCAAATTAAGGATTGGCAGTTTTTCAACAAAATACTTGCTTTAAATCTATTCCTAGTAAATTTTCTAAGGAATTCATATTATGTGGTGGTCATTGTAGGTAGTTCTGACTTCATTCCCAGTACATCAGGAATGTTGTTTCTTTCATGCCAGAAGAAATCAAATAGCACATTATGTCAAAATACAAAAACAACAACGTACATCTACAATTTAATGTAATATTTTCATTTAATGTAATATTCTCATTTAAAACAACATCTCATTATATACAAGAGCACAGAGGAAAATGTCGACTTCATCTTTTCTTTTTACTACTTGGTTCTTAAATATGAAACAACTAATGCAAGTTCTACTTTGTCTTCTCTTTCGGCTTGTAAAAA